TAACTATCTACCTATCTATCTATCGATCTATCTATCTATCTACCTACCTGTCTATCTATCTATCTATCCATCTATCTATCTATCTATCTATCTATCTCTACGTAGAAACACATAGCCATAATATTGGCGAAAGCTTCGTACCCTGTAAACCCTTAACCACTGAAGTCCTGAAGCCCTTAACCCTTGCCAAGCCGCCGCTGAAGCGAACCAAGACCGACTCGGGCATGTTCCTGCAGCCATTCGCAATTACACGCATATATTCGAGCCCTAGACCTACCCATAGGCCCCATAGTAGTTCCTTTTTGGGATTACCTTACAGGATTCTAAATATGAACCCCGAAAAGGAACTACTATGGGGCCTATGGGTAGGCCTACACCCTAATCCTCCGAAGCGTTAAACCCTATAAGGCCCAAAGAACACTAGACCCTGAACATAAAAACCCTAAAACCCTCTAATCCTACCACCTTAGTGCTCTACCTGGACCCTGAAAGTATGTAGAATAATAGCCCTTGGGCCATTATTTCACCTACTTTCAGGGGTCTAGGTACGACTCTAGAGTCCTGCCACCCGAAACCCTAAAGCCCCAAACATCTGAATCCTAAAGATCCTTAGACCACCCGGAAAGCCTGAGCTTTCCCTAAAGCCCGAAAGTCACCAAACCGCAAATCCTAAACCCCGGCTGAGGGATTAGTGTTTTTTTGGGGTTTGGGGCTTACGGCGTAGGGGAGTTTAGGGCTTAAGGGAAACCCTCAACAAAAACCTCCAAGTCTCGCCGAGGCGCAGGGGCATCTGTAGTATGGTATTTTGTCGTATGCTAGACTATGCCATGATATCTTGTAGTATATATTATACTAACTCTGGTATAGTATACTAATTCTAGTATATCATTGTGGTTATAATAATAATGGTATATTATACTAGTTCTAGTATATTACTATAGTTATAGTGTATATATATATATATAATACTAATTCTGGTATATTATTATAGTCATATTATACTGCAGCATCGTCCCAACCCCGCCGAGGCGCAGGGGCATCACCCCCGTGGCGGCGCCGAAGGCGACGAGCCCGGAGCCGGCCGGGAAGGAGATGCCCAGGGGGAAGCCTGGGCTTTGGCTTTCAAGTTCCCTTAAAAGGGCCCATATTAGGGAACCACACTTCTAACCTTAGAGCCTGGGCTTCGCCGGTTTCTTGGGGGAGTTTAGAGTTTAGGGTTTAGGGTTTAGGGTTTTGGGTTTAGGGTTAAGGATTTAGGGTTTGGGGTTTAGGGTTTAGGGTTTAGGGTGAAGGTTTAAGGTTTAGGGTTTAGGGTTCAGGGTTTGGGATTTAGGATTTAGGGTTTCGGGATCAGGGTTTAGGGTTCAGGGTTTCGGGGTTAGGGTTTAGGGCCTTAGAGGTTAAGGGTTTATGTAGGGTTCAGGATTAGGGGGACCCTTGGGGATATCCACCCTCTCAACAAGGTCACTTTGAAGAGAGCCAGAAGTAGGGTTAAGAAGGGTTCCTTTGAAGGGTCTCCCTAAGACTGCCTAGGAGTCTGGGGTTTTGAGAATTTCAGGATTCCGGGGGGTAGGACTCTAGGTTTTACGGCTTTGCGCGCTAAAGCGTTGAAGGTGTCGTCTGTGGAGTTTGGTGATAGAGCTACCAGACTGCCTGGGTTTCAATGCGTTAGTTCAAGGCACTGTCGGGTTTGATAGGGACTTAGAAGGTTACATATGAGCTTTTACAAGGGCTGCCGGGCCGAGGGGTTTTAGCGCAAATTTTAGGGCTTTGGGGCTTTAGGGTGCAGTTTTTGGAGCCCAGGACGTCGGGTTGAAGGGTTCAGGGTTTGGGGCCTTGAGGTTTGACGGCTGGCAAGCTTGATTATAGGGCTGCGCAAAGTGAAATACGCCCCCCGCTCCCGCAACGAGGGCAGCCTGACCTTCTGCGTTGCTGTGCGACTTTGGCCGCAAGGATCACGCCACCCGGTCGATTTTGACCGCCGGAGTTTAGGGTTTAGGGTTTAGGGTGTAAGCACCCAACCGCAGAGTGCCGAAACCAGATGTCCAAGTTGTGCCACTCACATGCTCAGGCCAGAAGCCTTCTTGCAAAGCCCAAACACCCAGCCGCCGGGGACTGGGGATGGTAACCATGAATCCAACCAATACTCGCGACACATGATCCCTAGGGCACCAAGTGTACAAATAGTACCTACTTTGGGGTCTCAAGTCTATAAATAGTACCTACCCTAAACCCTAAACCCTAAACCCTAAACCATACTTTGGGCTATTTGGAGCCCCAGGGTATGATCCGCAGTTCAGGGTGACTCAGCGAAGGCTAGTGCCACGATAAGGCTGGATCCCAGCTGCCCTAACGGAAAGCAGCACGGCTTCGGGCCTGATTCATCTTAACACTTAGAATAGGGTTTTGGGGTATATCATACTCTAATAGAAAATTACAATAAGAAAAGCCCAAAATATTATTGGTAACTATTTAGATTTAGGCTCTTTCTTATTTCAGCTGTTTGATGAGCCGACCGCTCCGGCGTCGGGGCCTCCTTTTTGAAAGTGAACACCCTGATTCTCCAAAGCCGTGGAAAGCACGGTTGTCTCGACCAATCCCCGGTGGCTCCGCAACCCTAGAAGTTCTGAGTATAACATGGACTCCCGTTTTCCATCTTGGACTAATGACGAGCAGCACTTGACGGCCTGGATAAGGTGTCCCTGATCCTGTAGCTCGATCACCCTAAACCCTAAACCCTAAACCCTGAACCCTAAACCCTAAACCCAAACCCTACACTCTAAACCCTAAGCCCCAAAACGGCATCCAAGAAGCGGGTGTGCGAGTCTCCGCCTTCATGGGACGGGACGACTGTGGATATTTCGGAGTTTGAGGTTTGGGGTTGTGAGGCTTTGGAACTCAAACTCAAGACTCAAAATCCATAAACTGTTGAGGCTTTAGGGTATAGGGTTTAGGGTTTAGGGTTTCGGGGAGGGCACTGACTTCCGGGGGAACTTTGATCCTACCCCGCGCCTGTCCCGACCTCATCGGGAAGCAGCATTCGGTTGAGCCAGGAGTGGATGATGCCATCGCCCGGGCGCAGGGCAACACCGCCGCGGTCCGCGATGAACTTTGGCAGGGTGCGGTGCGTGATCACCTTGGCGGCAGAGAGGCCACAAGGCCCGCTTGTGATTGTGGTCAGCCTTGCTGCCTTAATGACAGGAGAGCCTTCGAATCCTCCCTCCAAAGCTTCTTAGTCCTAAACTCCCTAAGCTCCCTAATCCCTAAACAAAACCCCCTAAACTCCCTAAACTCCTATACTCCCTAAACTCTCTAAACTCCCTAAACCCTAAACCCAAAGCCTGCAAACTCTTTCGGGACTCCCAGGTTTCTGGGCCAGGGTATGTTCCGTACAGTCCGATACCCTAACGTTAGGGTTTAGGGTTTAGGGTTTAGGGTTGCCTTAATAATTAGAATATGGTTTTGGGATACATCATACTATAGTACCAATGTAGGTTTCTTTGTATTCTAATCACAAAACAGCAGAGGCATCGCAATTTCCGGCTCCCCTCAACCCTCATCCCTAACCCTAAACCCTTAGTTCCAAACCCTAAATACCCCAAAACCCTAAACTCCAAACCATAAACTCCAAACCCCAAATACCCCAAAGTCCAAAACCCTAAACCCGAAATGCCCCGAAACCCTAAATTCCTAACCCTAAACCCTAAACCCTGAATGCCCTAAACCCTAAACCCCAAACCCTAAATGTGTAATCTAAACTAGGGTCCCTTTTTTGCTCCCCAATATAGTACGGCACCCTTATAAAAAGGACCCCAAGAGGGACCCTAATTTAGAGAACTACCCACATTCCTAACCCTAAGTACCCTAAACCCTAAGTACCCTAAACCCTAAATACCCGAAACCCGAACTGCCCCGAAACCCCAAAGTTCCTAACCCTAAGTACTCTCAACTCTGGGGCCGCAGCATCCACGGGCTTTGGGTAGGCGGCGGTGTGGCAGAAAGACCTGGGCCCAACCGGTTGGTTTAGGGTATATAGCTTATAGGGTTTAGGGTTCCCTGAATTTTTATTCCCGAAACCCCCCCAACTCTAAACCCTACATCCTACACCCTAACTTCTGCACCCTACACCCTGCAGCCCTGAAGTAACGGTTCTCAGCCCAGGCGCTGCATCACCAGGTCTGCCTGGAATCCCAGGCAAGCCAAATCCTTCAGCTCATCCTTGGCTCGGCGGAGCGGGGGGGGGGGGGGGGG